ATACAGTACAAGGGGCCAAGTTGGAGGCAGCACGAGGGATCAAACTGGATCCAGTACAAGGGGACAAGCTGGATACAGTACAAGGGGCCAAGTTGAAGGCAGTGCAAGAAGCCGAATCCATCGCACTCAACATGCGAGACGCGCAGGTCCATCGCCCCTGGTGGGAGAACGTCAAATTCCCCAAGAAAAGGGCGACGCATGTCCAGCGCCACAATCGCTGTGCACCTGGTAAGAAATCTAAGCACAGGAAACTCCTCCCCCTGATCGATGACAGACGCGGGGAAAGCACCATTTGGTACTTTTTCAACAGGAAAAAGGAAGTGAAGGCCGAGAAAAAAGTCCACATATCGAGCGACAAATGTGTCCCATTTTCATTTAGAAGTGTAGCAAGAAAAAAAATAAGAATAAATAATAAGCATAAGAATAATGGCAGTGTGAGAAGGACGAAGAATCATTTACTACCCAGCAGCTGCAACACTCCCATGAAAGCAGAAATCACAGGAAATTATAAAATCTACGACTTTTTCCCGAGAATTTTGATGAAGCGAAAAAGACAAAGCAGTACCGGAAGCAGTACCGGAAGCAGTACCCAGAGCAGTGCCCAAAGTAGTACCACTACTAGACACAATGATCATGTGAAGAAATGGATAGACGAAAATGTGCTAACGACGGACAAAAACATATTCGATAGCATAATTAACAAAAGGGTAAAGAGGGAGACTCATATTAAGGAGGAATTCAATTGCTGTTACGTCAGTTATAGGAGGATCCTTGAGAATGTAATGGAAAAACAGAAAGGTGAAACCATTATGCGTGACAATCAGCATGTGTGTGCAAACGAATCCTTCAATGACAACATTTTTTGTCACTCCGACATCATTCTCTCTCTCTATGCAATGAATCGAGAAAGCGAAGAAGGTGTCTTTTACACCTATACCAAGAAAATAATTTCTTCCTACATTTCCCATTTTAACAATTTATTTGAGAATCACAACTGCCAAAATGATGCAACCGATAAGTATTACCTCCTGAAATTCGTTGCTGCTGTTGTCGACAGCTTATGTGAGGAGTTGCACCGAAGGAGGCTTCTCGACGTGCTTCACAAATTTTTGAAAAATTTTAAGCACGTTTGGTGCATGAGCTGTGGCGAAGAGGAAAATGGGAAGGGGAACGAGAAGGGCGAGATGGGCGAGAAGAGATCCTTCCCATTGCTATTTCACCGAACGATGGTGAAGTACGGCGTGGATTAGTCCCATGCGTGCAGGGGCGCCCCCGCGCGGCTGCATCAGTGTGAACAGCGTGATCTTGTGAACAGTGTAATCTTGTGAACAGTAAGTTTTCCTCTCTGGTGGGAGAAAAACCTCCAATTTTTTAGTACCCCCCGCGTGTGCGCATGTGTATCGTGTAAGGATTATATTCCTGCACGCTACTTTTGATTTGCCAAAAGGAGTCCCTTTCTTTTTCCTTTTATTTTTCCAACTCAAACATTGGGAATTGCCAATTTGATTAGGATTCTAAAAAAAAGCAAGGATTTTGTTTAGCCCCAGTTTTTTCTCACCCACGAGGTGTTAATTTTTTTTTTTTTTTTTTTTTTCGAATGTGTCGTCGCACATAAGGATGAGTTATTGCACGCAACGGCAACGATTGGTGAGTCGCTCAATCGAGACGTTGTAAGGGAGAAAGAACTACAACAGAACTTCGCGCGAGAGGAATGCACCGTGGTTAGCAGCGTTTTGCAGAAAAGGGGCACATGTTAGGTGCGCCCACCTGGAGGTTCACATAAAGAAAAGATTGAACGATGAATACTTATCTATGTGGTCGCGCGCTGGAGGGTGGAAGCACCTACATATGTGTGGAAGTGCATACGTACGTGGAACACAATCCTTAGCCAACTGAAGGTGCGCATGCTAGTGACTGTTTATTCGAGAACTTCCTGTGGGTTTGTTTGCTTGTCGCTTTCGTTGTTTGCTCGCCGGTTTGTTTGTTTGCTCGTCGGTTTGGTTGTTTGCTCGTCGGTTTCGTTGCCTGTTCGCCGATTTGTTTGCTTGCTTGTTTTTTTTTTTTTTTTTTTCTCACTTTTTTGCACGTGTAAGTTTGTACAATGTAAGCAGTTTCGCTATTCACATGGCAAAACAAATCGTTTTTTTTTTTTTTCTCACGTTGACGGTTAACCACTTTCACCATTTTTCGCTTTTTCCGTTTCAACGCTGAAGAGAAATACCCTCCCCCCACTGTATGCTCGGCCTTTTCCATTTTTACGTCAAAGTCGTCCCTTCGCTCCTCCCTCTTTGGCGTAGCTGTAGGGCGCTTTAAAAGAGAAATACATCTGTTCGTTCACTGCGCTGTGTTTGGTGAGCATACGGGGGTAGCTGTTACTAGGAACGCAGCCACTGTAGGGAAAGGCGCCCCCCAAAAAACGCCTACAACACCGGCAAAACCTACCACGCGCACCTTCCTCAGAATGCGGATTTGCAAGCAGATTGATCCCGTGATCGACATCGTGATCATCGGTTTTGGCGTGCGGAGCCGTCTGTTCGTCGACAAGTTCCTTCGGAAAAATGAGCTGAAAGGAGTGAACATAATAATCATCTGCAAAGACAACTTCGTGTTCCTAGATCGCTACGTACAATGTGAAGAGGCCTGCAAAGAGAGCTACACGGATGTCTATAATTTTTGCAAAAACAGAAACATACTGTTTATAAATGAGAAGGTGCAGTATGTACACACAGAAAGTCGGAACATCTTCTTTGCCTCAGACAGGAACCATTTGAATTATGATTTCTTGTTGTGCGACTTTGATTTTAGGAGCTCCGATCTGTTTAGCACCGATATGTCTCACATGAACATATACCCTTTTCGAAATAAAAATCGTTTTTTTTATCACGTGCATGTGATGTACCTCGCTCTGCTGCAGTCGACAAACATGGAGGAGGACAAGACGGATGTTCGTTTGTATCGTCAGTGTAGAAGGGCGCTTCTGCAGGGCATCCCTCTGAAGAGGTTCCTTAACTTCCATTCGTACAACGATGAGTACGTGGAGGAGATCTTCAGCGCCTACGAGGAGGCGCAGCGGTTCGGTGCCGTTAGCGGTGGGGGCGAAGGTAGCAGAAGTGAAGTGAGGAGTGGGGGCGCACTTAGCAGAGGTGAAATCAGCGAAGGATACCCATTCAGTGCGAGCGTCCTCCCAGATGCCCCTCTGCAAGGCAACGGCGCGGACGAAGATACCACCCCCCGCATCCTTCTAATCAGTGACAACAACCAGTTTGGGAATTGCCTACATTCGGAGGTACAGAAGCAGCTACGCAGAATAAACGCGCAGGTTAATTTACTCTCCGTTTATGTGGCTTCGTCGAAGAACGAAAAGTTAGACCTCCCCTGTAGGGACTACCTACTGGTCAGGGAAATAAGGGGAGTAAAAGAAAACGGAGAAATTAAAGAAATGGAATTTCTGGACATCCATGATGAGGAAATTATAATCAGATATGATGAGTGCATAAACATCACTGCCATGAGGTACCCTTCTTATGTATACTCATTTGGCGAAGACGCGACCAAGTCCCTGTCGGTGAATCCCTTTTGCCAGTCCGTAACAGATGAGTATCTTTATCTCCTTAACCAAGTGAAGAACTACGACGATTATGCAGTCTGCGAGACGGTCTACCTAAACGTATACAATAAGGTGCATGGGAACAAATACATCAGCATAGAACATGTCAAGGGTTATATACTTACCCGTGATGCAGATGAGTTGGGTGTTTCTTACTTGCTCCCTCCGACCCCCAACCTATTTAATCACACTGTGAATTATTCCTACCGCATCGTATCGTACATCTTAAGAAAGGGGTACTCATATCTGTCAAAGAACCGCTTCCTACAAAATGGGGTACTCTCCTTAATGCACAGAAGAAGGGAAATCGAAAAGTACCTAAAGGGGTCCCCAGTTAGCGGTAGCAGGGAAATATTTTTTCCCCCTCCTTCGATAAGGACCCTTTCTCTTCGTATCTTCAAAAGGGCTACTCACTATGTTGACCTCCTCAGAGGAAGAATTTCTTCGGAAGATGGGACATGCATGCCCCTTTGTGGACAGAAAGAACCGCACAAGGACGATGACCCATCTCGTGTGAACTCCAGTGACAGTGGTAGCACCACAGCGAGCAGAAGTGGAAGCAACAACAGGAACGAGGAACTACCCACCCGCAACAAATGTGCACACAGTGGAAGCCCCAAAACGGAAACCACAGCAAGTTCCCCTCTTCCAGAATATATGTACACTGCATACCGAAAGGAATATGAAAGGAGATTACTTGTTAGTAAAAAAACGACCTACCGAGTGGCAACAGAGGAGGGAGAAAATGGAACAACCATAAGGATAATTGTGCAGGATGGCAGCGTTCAGGCGGGAACCACTTCGAACTGCGATACGAAGAGGGAAAAAGTAAATTCATACATTAAAGAAAGCATCGAGAAAATAATTAACCGGAATACTTGCGGAGGATGTGGGTCGAAAGTCCCTTCAAACGTTCTGTCAAATTCGTTGAAAGGCCTATCTGTGTACAACTCACCAAATGTGTACCTAGGAATTGAAGCATGTGATGACTGCTGCATATTTGTGCATAGTAAATCTAAAAGGGGAGAAGAAAGTCCTGCACTTGTCCAAACAATCGACTTTTTCAAATCCTTTATCGATGATGAATACATATTAGGGGAAATAATCGCCATTCATTGCCTATCCGATGTGTACAGTATGGGGGGGACCGGCATCTGTGCCTTGTGTGTACTTATTGTGAAGGATAACATTGAGAAGAAGCTGCAGCAAAGACTACAGAATATTTTAACTGGGTGCTGCCAGAAGTTGAAAGAGGAGAAATGTGTCTTGAGTGGGGGCCACACCTGTGCCGGCAATGAGAATTACGTCGGTTTGGCAGTCACGGGGAAGGTGAAAAAGAGGCGTACCGCCAGTGAGGCCACCCCCAAGGGGGATCGAAAAGATAAGCCCGATAAGGAGAAACGGCGAGAGGGGGAGGAGAACCCCAGGACAAGCGCAGCGGCGGCTACCAGTGGTGCACGTAAGCAACAGGAGGGAGGCGCCCCCGCAGATGAGCTACCCCTCGTTAGCAAAGAACACAGGGACACATACGAACGACACCAAATGATGAAGGAAAACTATCTATTCCTACCCAAAGGAAGCAGAAGCATAAAGGCAGGGGACATAATCATTACCACGAAAATGTTCGGCTTTGGCTTCATCATGGCTGCACATATATGTAAGAAGGCAAAGGCCAGATGGATCTACAACTGTCTTGACGAAATGCTTCTCTCAAATAGGAAGAGTGGATTATACCTTCTACAGAGTAATAATGCCAAAGCTTGCACCGATGTAACTGGGTTTGGAGTCCTAGGCCACCTTAACGAAATGATCAAGTGCTCTAGGAGGGAATTTTATTTTGCTGCACGAATGGGAAACAAGTCCCTGCACAGCACATCACAGAGGGAGACACTGGAAGGGAGAAGTAGCAAAATGGATGATGGACAGATTGACAAGGTGAAAGAACCCCCCATGAATCTCATCGGAGCAAAGATAAATCTCAAGAATTTCATAATCGCAGAAGGGGTTGAACAGTGCATAGAAAATAATATCTTCTCTTCCATGTACAAGAAAAATCACTACTTGTGCAATAACATTATAAATTTGGAGGAAGCTTCACTGAGTGAGCGGTATGGAATTCTGTTTGACCCGCAGACCAGTGGGGGCCTCATGGTCATTGTGGAAAGGGAGAGAGCCGACCAAATTTTAACAGACTTAAAAAATATGGGGTATCCGAACTGTTCCGCAGTAGGGGAAATTATAAATGTGCAAGATGATAAGTTTAAGGGGGTGCCCATAAGTCAGGTTTCGTTGGACGATTATTTGGACACGACGAACTCGGTGTACATCGAATGGTAACAGTGTGTGGGCAGAGGTGTAGAAGGGAACGGTCAATTTAATATGCCTGGGTATATGGCCCGTTCCGTGTCTAGTGGACCCCGACCCGTCAGCAGTGAAGCCTTACCTTCTCGCACCACCGATTTTTACAAGGGTACTTTTTTTGGAACTCTCTCGCATTCACTCCGCCCAGCCGTGTGCGCGCAAAATGCATATATTCGCGTCACCCCCGGGGGGAGAATATTTTTGCACCTCTTGATATAAACTATGTTATATTCGCTTTGTGCAACTTTTTAAGGAACATTTATTTTATAAAAGAAAAATAATTTTTTTACGAAAAAAACAAGAAAAAAGAAAAAAACAAATGTATATATACTGCTTCATCGGGTGAAGCAAGAGAAAGCCAAAAGAGGCATATCTTTTCCGGTGGCACTAAAATGTACATGTGGTGGAGAAGTAATAAGAATTACTTTTTTACTGAATTAGGTAAAATGTTGTATAGGAGGAGAATGCGCTATCGCACATGAAAACAAATTCACAAGAAGAAAGCAGCTTGAGGACATATAAGCAGTTAAACAGGACTCCCCACAATTTTGCGCTCAAATTAGTGGATTTGCATATCTCTATTCCATTGCACACATAGGAATTTCCACAAAAAGGCATCAACACATTTAGAAGCTATAACAGTTTTTTCAATGGTAAGCAACATGTAATTAAAGTCCTAACTTCAAATAGAATTCTTATTATAAAAGCAGTTCAAATTCAGTAGTGTATTACTGTTTCCATATATGCATAAATAAGACACATCATGAACTATTATGTAATTTCAACAGGCACACGTTTATGCGAAATGAATAATCTTGTAACGTGAATTTCGATATAATAGTAACTATGTCTTCCTCCTGGGTAAGACCGTCTACGACCCCTACTATTTTGTCCTCTTTTTGTTATCTTCTTCGGTATGCGCCTTCTGTATAACGCCAGATTAGCTTCATAATTGGCGACGTTAACTCCTTTTATTTCTATGACACATGAAGCAATCCTATATATGAAACAAAAAAAAGAAAAAAAGAAAACTATACCTATATATGTATGTACATGTGTATATATATATTCCATGCTAAGCCGTAAAGAGTTCAACGGGGTATAGGCTCCTATCGATAAATTATAACAGTGTATAGAAGCATGTAAATTATCTGTATCTGTTGTGCGGACATACTTTTTATGCTTCTCGAAACTGATGCACCTTCAATTAAGACGGAAAATGTGAATTTGATTGAGGGTTCCAAATGAAAAATATTGCATTTTCTTCTTTAATTTACTATAATTAGGTATATGAAAAATGAAAAACGTCCTTATACTCGCGTATATATGCTATTCTTAGTTTTTATTCAAAATTCAATATTGCAATTTCTTCTTAGTTCTCATCATGTATCCATTGTAATATATTATTACTAGGTCTATAATTCCTTCATTATATTCCTTTTTTCCCTCTCCTTTTATATAATTGGAGGATAATCACAGTTAATTGGTTTCTAATTATTATAATTATTGCCTATACAACTAAGTTTCGTTCTTATTCACATAACGCTATGCTGTGGTACCTTATGTTTGTTCACATAAAGGTGTTATACCGCTGTTTTTCTCTCCTCTTTTCACTGAAATAGTAGAAATATATCTGCAATCATACCTGTAGTAGGCGGTTATAGCACAAGCTACTTTAATGATACCTCACGGTAGAGACTCTGAGGAAAGAAATAGATTTCGTGCCATTGTTGTTATCACGTTCCCCTTTTTCTCAGTCCCTTCTTTTGTATTGGTCTTTGTTTTTATTCGATACACAGACATACAGGTAATAATGGGATAGGGGAATTCGCCTGGGGGGAGATTTGTCTTCTGGGCCATGAAGAGGATATCCATCGTCTAAGAAAAATGCTTTTCTACAAGGCAATCTAGGATGATTAATAAGACCTTCCCTCGTCGCCACAATCGTAACTCCCAGAGTTAAATTCTATGTTACATAACCCCCCTTCATAATGAATGTGGAGATACACCGCCGCCGAAACAGCATAGCCTCTTTACATCAATATACACTAATCTCATAAATATAGGAGAGTATGCCTTCTTAATCAGCATGACTATTCCTTTTCTGGATTGCACTTACAATGCGACCGTGTATTACATGGCCTGTAGAGGCTCAGTCGCACTTGGGAGGAATCTTCACGATTTTTCTTATAATGCAGTATAAGATATTAGGAATATACAGAGCATGCTCAGTGTCCATTATGTGGATTATGAACGATTATAATTGGGGATTCGGAGAAAACACAAAATATAACAGGCGGAGCCTCTCTGTGTTTGTTCCGAAGGTGTCCCCCTCGGTGGATTAAAGGCTCATTGAAGATATAGATACTTGCGAAGCCCTAAATGGAAGATACAGGACTAAGAACGAAGAAGTTCATCTTTAAGTGTTCCTTGATAATTGTTGAGATACGAAAATTATGGAATCCTCCTCTATTTTCCCCTGGCTCCTGTCCATTCTTATGGTTAAGTGTAGATTATTTTCCAAGCGTCAGATACTTTATCAAGTATCTCTATACAATATATCCTCCTGTTAATATTTTTATTTAGTATTACAAAATTCCATCTAAGGAAGTAATCACAGGCGTCCTAGATCATAGAGTTTTGAGAGTAATCGGCAACCTGAACAATCAGATAAATTACATACTTAACGACTGTCTTCCGTATTGATTATTCCTTCTAAGAGGGATATGTCTTCATACTCTGAAGTTTTATTGACGTGTCTCAATGCAATCTATGTGAACAATAGAAAATTTAGACACGGAACAATAGACACAAAAGCACGATTTGGCGGCCTTAGAATCAAAGGGTTTCCAAAAAGATTCGATATTGAATTATACATTTGTTACGAGAAGTGAGCAACTCACCCAAAGATGGCTGCACTTCCAGATTGTGCGACATATTTGCGGAGGCCAAGCAATTCGAGGTAAGCAATGATTATAGAACACCCAGCATAGAAGGTGCTCTCCTCTTTGAAAAGAAAAGTTAATGTTGCTTGCTTGAATATAAGGGCATGTCTCATGTACTGAAACAGGAATATCAGTGATAGAACAGACGCCCTTTCATTGTGCCACTAACATGCTGTCTAACCCGCCTGTCCATTAGCCCTTGCGTGATGTTAATTGCTAGTAATCATTATGACGTTTATTCATCGATTCCTGAGGCAGCTTTTAATTTATTGTTTTTATATATTAAGAGAATAATCTCTGCATTGCCACATTTATTTTTTTAATATATCCTTTGTTGGTACCCCTTCTGAGGCTGTAAACTCCATATAAAAGAAAGATTTCTTAAAACAGAAGAGCTTTATTTCAGCATGCGCGTGACAGGTAATAAAAGCGTCACAAGAATGGTTCCTCTATTCTGCTAATTATATTTATCCATTCTAGTTTATATTTAATGGATACAATAGAGCACGTTGAAAGAATCTAATGCTACGCCACGTGCCTCCGGTACAACTCTGTCTCTTTTATTTTCCTACCAACTTTCAGATGTTACGCAGTGGGTTATACCACTTTGGTTCCCCAATGCTTCTTATACACATCCTACATTTATTCATCGGTCTTGAATGGAAGAAAAACTGTTAAATTGGCGAATTGTTAACTCAAAATCTTAATCACGATGCGATGTTTCCATCACTGTGCGGTAAATTCTACCTGATGAATCAGTGTGTTGGTGATGCCACTATCATATGTTCCGTGAGTTCCCATACAGCCCCACACAGAGATGCGAGTTAATTTCTGTTGCTGTAATTAAAGTTCTCTTGCTGCTGCATGAATTGACATGATGGTTACATCTCAATTGCTCACGTGAAATGTGTGTCTGTGTGTGGGAGGGTTCATTCTGTTTTGTTTTATGTTTATCCTCAGATCTCCTTTTAACTACTGCATCACCATGACTCTGTGGCTCCACAGTGGTGAGAAATATTCAAATGAAGAGCAAAGGAGATTTATCTTTCAATATTTAAAGTGGATTATTCATCTGACAATGCGAATATAGACATCCCCCATAAGAAACCGGCAACCAGTTGTGGGAGCATCGATCAGTTATTCGATACGGAACCTGCGACAGAGTTATAGCTCTTCTAAAATATTACTGTATTCGTGCTTCACTAGACCTTATATACTCCAAACGGAACAGACAGCACAGAGAGTCTCGTTCAGGTGTTTTTCGTCAGACCGAATTTCTTTTCTACTTTTCCTTGAAGAATTAAACAGCCTAATCTATTTTCCAAATAGCCTTTATGTATAAGTAGATAGGAAACATATTTCCCGGAATTGGAAGGTATATCCCTGAGGGATCTATTTACATCTACATTATGTTTCTAGATGTTAGTGGTGAGAGTGAAGTTCCTAATTTCTGCCCACTATTCAATGGATTAAACGTGGAATAATAGTGTTCCACGCCAGAATTATGTCGACCAGGAAAAACCGCCCCTAGCCTATACTAGGGACAACTATATACCTAAGGGTGAGAGTGGTTAGATGTTACAGTTCCCTTATCTTGGCTCTTGAGAATGCAAACAAACAGAGGACTTGTCTAATCAGAGGGGTAAGAATTGAAACTCCACTATACACCCAGGAAGGCGGCTCAGGTATGTCAAACTAGACACCTCTAACGTGGACTCAGAAACAATAGGATGAAAAAGATTTTGTCAGTTAGAAATTAAACGAAGGAAAGAAAACAAGAAGGAAAAACAAACAGAAAAATAGTGTACTTCCAATTCAACCATATATATAGATATCTGTGGCTGCGAACTGATTCTGGGGGGAATGTATCAGCTTCCTCTAAAAAATAGTTAGGATATTCTCCTTCTACGTTTATTACACTATAGGTTGTTATATGAGAAACATATAAAAACGAGGAATAAAAAGAGGTATATTCAACATATGCTTCTTAATCGGATTCTAAAAAAAGAAGGATAAAACACTAATACTAAAGAGGGTGGACACAAAAAGAAGCTAACCGATAGGGTAAATGTCGGGGTTCACTACCATATAAATGCTTCACTAGGCAACCTATGACTTATGAGAACAGTTAAGAGAAGGGAGGATTGTCCTGTGCGTTCACACATTTCTATGGTATGTCAGGATTTCACATAATATATGCATAGGATGCTACAGTTCAGCCTATGGAGAACAACAGTTATTCTCAACCTCATGCGTTATATTATGCTCATAGGCAAGAAAGGATAGGTTTCGTGGGTGGGCTCCGCCTTTTTGAATACTCTAATCATTTATAAGATATAGTAAAACCAGTCTTGCATTCCATGAACGAGGAAGCTTCCCTTCTCTTGATCCCGTGAAGAATGTTTTCCACTGAAGCATTAACAAATGCCTAAGTTATATCTCGCGAGAACAATAAATATGCGCGCAGGATGGAATCAATTTAATTCACGTGTATGAATGTATGATATACAGGTTTCTAATTACAGTGGCAGGGCAGGCTCAACTGTTATATAAGTAGTGGGCAATTGGGTGCTTTCCCCCTTTTTATGTTTCATATATATGGTTTTTTCTTCCTTCTTCTTTTCCCTGTCTACTTATCATTTTCCTCTTTGGCTATTCAACCATATTCATTTCTTCTAGTATGGCACATGGAATGGCTTCTAGCTTCTATTTTTGGGAATTCCATCGGGCTGTTCTTAACCATTCCCTATAGCTTCACTTTTTCCCTTGGGTCTAGGGAATGATGGGATATCCTTAGCTGGCAGAAAGAACTAGCGCATCATGTATGCAATGATCATAATTAAATAGAAAGACTGTGTGGTGATCTTCTCTCCCTTTGTTGGTAAGTTCGTTCGCTTCGGTGTATAACGGCTATTCAAAAGGATTAATAATTAGACTTCCCCCAGTCAGCCTCTAAAAGGGGTCATTACAAATTAAGAATCTTACGTGTTGCATTGTACCTTTCGTTACCGGTTTTATGCTATGTCAGTTTGCTCTCCTTCTGCCATGTCGGGAGAATTTCTCATAGCATTCTAAATGAAATATTTATTTGGCCTCTACACCTGCATCAGAGGAACAGTCAGAATCTGTCAATTCTTTTTTATGTGTTTTTCCCGATTCACTAACACTCTGCAGTTTTTTTGATTGACTTCTTAGTCTGTTTAAGAGTTCAGCTAATAGGTCCCGTCTGATTGGAGAGTAGGTGTCCCTTCTTTTTCCAGCGTTGTAATTCTTCCCAAGGTTTCTCTATTATGTAATTAAGGAACTTGTGTCATCACCACTTAGCGAATAGGTATGGACACCGTCCAATTGTAGCATGCATATATCCGTATTATATTTGTTTCATGCGCTTCTTCTTCAGCATGTCACCATCATGATCTTTATCGTCTATGTGTAGTTAATTTTATATGACCTGTTCTATTACGCCTTTAGACGTTTCCTCATTATACTGAGCAGTTTCTGTTTCTCCTACATGGTCGAAAAAGATCCTCTACATCTTTGATATGTCCTGACATGTATCCACTTTTTTGTTCTTCACACACTTTCCTATTAGGTCTTCCAATTACAGCCCCCTGTTGTGTGAATCTTTCTTCTCTTGTCATTTTTCTAGAACCATGATAAGTATCAGCATGGACACATTTGTTATTAGTTCCTTGTTTTTATGTACACGCGACTAAAGGCTATGCATCTCATGTTCTGTTTTGTACACTTCTGGTATTGGTGTGTCTTTGTCGTTTCCTTTATTACATAATGGGCTGTTTCCCTCTGATACTGCTTTATCAGTCTGGCAAACCGCCTCTCTTGGGCCCAATATTGCACATGTGTGCGTCGTTTTGCAACTGAATTGCCTCATACACACTTTTAACTTCCTAAGAAGGGAATTTATTGTTCCCCATTTAATTTCTCCCATTCTGACAGTACATTTTTTTTGGAGACATGCTCCTCCCTGTTCCATGCCTTCTGTAAACTATAGAAGCAAAGTTCCTTCCCCTATTTATCGACGATGTGGTGGTGTCCATGTTCCCAACTTGGCAACAGATATTTCCGTATATGTATTTTATCTGTATTGTATGCAGCTGCAAAGATTTAATCGTTACTGGAGGTAATTGCACACATGCCACTGTCTCTGTTCATAAATTCGTGCAGGTGGGTTTCAGAGAAATCTCCCCTGCTGAATTCCTATTATTCCCTTTGACATTCGTGTGTAGGGTGCATATCTTGGTCTAATGATTTTTTCACACACGTTGTTTCCTTTCCTGGCGCGTCTAGCCCATTGTAGAATTTGCCGATCACGCCTTCAGTGTTCATGCTACGGGGCTCGCAATAATTGATGTAAACTATCGAAGGACGCATGGTCCTTTTTTTTTTCGTGGGTGGCCATTAGCAGTGTTGTGTGTACTTTTTTCGAGGTGTTACTTATTTTTCCTGGGAAGGAGCAGCGATCCTAAACACGTATATTGTATCAATTGCGAAGGTTACCGAAGAAACTGAGTGCCTCTGTGTGAATTCTTCCAAAAGTTAACAATGCTGCATTACGTCATATTCTTTGTATGCGCATAGATATACAGATATTTTTACATTAACAGGAGAAGTAAGCCCTGTAATAAAACCCGTGACTCTTAAACCTTTCATGGGTTAACCGTCATGTGTTATCTGCCACGTGTTAGGGTCACTATGGGGGCATATTAAAAAGGTGCACACGCGTACATTACATATATATATGCATATGTAGATGTGGCCGCACCCTGGTGGGGTCAAACGGGTGAGGCCCAAACTAAATGCACTCGTACTGGTCAAGGTTTAACTCCCGCTTGAGGCGGTCCTCAATTTCGTCCTTCCTGTTTAGAAGCTGCAGCTTCTGCATCTTGACCTTGAGTGCATTCATCTTGAAGAGGACGCAGAGGTAGGTAAGCGAAAAGAGGAGAGGTAAAAAGACAATGACAAAAATGATGAGGAATATCAAAATGATCGAATCGGTTGTGTTAAAATAAAAATGAGCATTAGTAAGTTCCATACCGTGAAAATCATTTTCATCGGAGTATAAACATATGAGATAATTTTCATTCGTTTGTAAATCATCGCTTTTTATAAAAGGAATGTAATAACTGATTGAAGAAGTATCATCACTGGAAAAAAAGTACTGTACAGTATTTTTCGTCAACTTGGATTTATCCGTTCTTTTCATTTTGTTTAATGCACCTGCACCAAGAATGGCATTGTTCCAAAAGGCGGGACACCTCTTCTCCTTATCATCAACATCTCGAGGAAATCTCACAAAAACGACTCGATTGTATGAGGTTATATACTCCCCTTTGATAATCAGTTCGTATTCCCAATTGGACGTTAAAAACGATTTTGTGTAAATAACATCATAGTCATTAATATTTCTTTCTATCTTCATTGGGTACGAATTGAAGAGAACTTTTCCTAAGTAGTATGGATGTTCTTCACTGGACTTGTAGCATATGTGTAAATCCAAGGGGGGCTTCTCATCTTTGGATTTCTTTTTATTATTAGTAAAATATACTACTGAATTTTCTGTGTTCACTATCACTGGGATGTTGAAGGATAGAAAAAGCTTCTCCAAATAAGCCTGCGATATTTCTAGGTATAAAAATAGATTTCGGATAGAGTAATTATTTTCCTTATAACATACTTGGTATACATTTTCTGAGGAAAAGATATCACTGGGACACTTTTCCTTTTGATTTTTTACTAAGTCTTTCTTCAATACGAATGCTAAACATATTTTTTCGTTTTGCTCCTTTGGGAACTGTGACCAATCTCCTGTTATTTTAAGGTAGCTTTTCCCCTTGGGGAAAAATAACATGTTGTCTGGTTCTACATTTTTCTCTATCTTCACGGTAACTAGGAGATCCTGCAAGCACGGCGTCGCCACATATTTGTACAAATGCTTCTTATCAATATGCCTGTTAGAATCATAGTACTTTATTTTGGTTAAATCCTGGGCATATTCTATTTTTTCGAACTCCTCACATGAGGAGAGTGGCACACGGGGAGGAAGCACGAGCAGGAGGACTAACAGGAGCAGAATGGTCTTAGCGTAAACGAGTAGAGGGATGAATGCGCGAAGAAGAGGCAGCGGAACACACATGCTCAGTGGGGGTTGTCATTAGAGTGGGCGGGTGGCGGCGTGCGCGGTAGCAAGGAGACGAGCCCACGTTGCCAATTACTGTATGCCGACCATGCCAGTGGTGACTATCTCTCTACCGCTATCACGCGCTGGGGCAATGAACTGTACATGGCGTAAAGGGAGGGCTTCCGAATTACGACGAGGGTGGCGACACAGTTCTGTGTTTGTTTCTCGCGCGGGGGCTCGCAGCTAGGAAATGACACTCGGGAAATCACAGCCAACAAAGCGCAGCTAGGAAATCGTAGCCAGGAAATAGCAGCCAGCAAGTCTCAGCTGGTGGGGAAGGATACGCAGGTACATGCGCATAGGGGACATGGACAAATGCGTCCTCCACGTATAAACACGCGAGGTCGCTAATATGTATCGCCTTACAGGCTGATCGCGCGAGAGGTACGCCTCCTGTTTGGCTGGCTCAAATACCTACCTACATAACGTTTCACTGCATCTTACAGTCGTACAGTTCCGTTCACTTGGGGGCGGCTGCAGGCCATGGGTGGATTTTTGTTTTTTGTTGTCTCTCTCCCTTTGCTAATCTTATTTTCTCCGTTTGCTTTCTCTAAAGAGGGAAGCACAATTGGGGGGGAAAGTGATCAGCCTAGTGGCAGCGCGATTTGATGGTTCTTCACGAAACAGGGCATTAAGAATAGTTTCAATAAAGAAAAGAAAAAAAAATAAAGGGAATGGGGAGTGACAGAAAAAAAACTCCACATAAAACTCTTGGATTTATTTTCTTTAGAATGGAAAAGCTTACGCTAAGTGCAATAATTGGTAACTAATTTTCATAAGATTTTTTTCCCTTTAAAATAATGCAGCACTTTTTGCGCGCCTTGGGTGGATGTTTTAAAAAAAAAGAAAGAGAAAAAGAAGGAAACCTCCAAATTGTAATGTCGCATTGGTATATGTTTCAACAAGTTTGCAACACTTGTGCGTGTTGGTATCACGGGTGGGCGTGACCAAGGCATTATATGTACAACGAATCCGCACAGGCAGCGCATTTTGCCTTGCCCATCGAGGACGCGGCAACTCAGCGTCATGCACAAGGGAACGATAAGCATTGCGTTCAAT